TCCTTGCCTAGTAGGCATGTAAAGGGTAATTTTTTTTTATTATGAGGAAGTCAACTAAGATAGTCTTTATAAATGAAATTATTTATGAGGTATAGTCACATAGTTCAAATGTGTGTATATTCCTATTACGACATTGTTTTTATACTTAGAGGTATTAACTTTAGAAAAAGACACAAATAAAATAAGTTAAACATTTTCAGATTTTTCTTTTTTTCATTTTTAAATTGATTTTAGAGAGAGGAAGGGGGGAGAGACAGAGAGAAAGAGAAAGATGGATGTGAAAGAGAAACATTGATTGGCTGCCCTCCTTACCCGCCCCCTGACTGGGGATCAAACCTGCAACCTAGGCCTGTGCCCTGACGGGAAATCACCTCTTGGTGTGCAGGACAGTGCTCCAACCAATTGAGCCACACTGGCCAGGGCAGATCTTTCTATAAGAAACAAAATACTCCCTATTTTCAAATTAGAATATTAAATATGTAGGTTACTTTTGTTTTCATATTATTATTCTACTTACAGTTTATATATGGCCAATAATTTTAATATAGCTATTCTATGTTTACACATATATGCACTCAAACTGCTTAAAAATGAACAGTGGCATTTTCTTTTCTGCTACATAATTTAAATAGAGATAACTAAGCTCTGTCCTGGTTATACATAAATATTTGACCTTTTCATTCATAAACTTATTTAGCAACAATTTGAGAAGAAAAAACTGAGTTGAATGTACTATATTATATTGATTAGTACAACATACACATTTGAAAACACTTAGCTACCTTATATTGAAAATTCTCTTCCTTATTACTACTAATTTTTATAATTTTGCTATTAAGTGCTTTACATCACTATCAATTATCTCACTCTTTTATCTCCCTTTTGAATTTATCTTGTTTTTGTAATTTTCAGTAGGTATTACATTGGAAAAAGAAAAAAGAAACAAAGACAGATGACAGATTTAGAAAACTTCTTCCTGACTATTGACGTCAATAATTCTTTTGACTGCCACTGCTAAACAGAGTTGGACCTGAGAGTCTAGCATTGGTTAATGGGGAGAAGGGGACCTAGACAGAAAGTAGAAAGACCTTAATTGTATTAAACTAGTGGAAGGTCCCTTCCAGAATGATGTGAGCTCTCCATTTTCCATTTTGAGAAAGCACATCCATGTAATCAGGGACACACCCTTGCTGATCAATGCTTCAGATCAGAAAACCTTTCTCATTATTTGGCAAACTTTGAAATTAGTAGACAGACCATCCTTGGTGGCCCTAATGGCATAAAACCAGGAATGTTGTCTACTGATTGTTGGCTGTCTTTCTAGGGCCACCGGTACCACTGGAGGTGTGCAAGCTTATGGAGATGTTAAAGAGTCAGCAGAAGAATCCTGTCAATTACAGTCAAGCTGCAAGGCTGTAGAACTCTGGCCAATCAATCCCTGAGTTACCAATTCTTGACTTGTCAATAATGAACAACTGGTTAGACATTTCCTTCTCCTATTCTCATCTACTATAGGCTACTCCAACCCTCATCTGTAATCATACTCACTTGCAGAAGACACATTGACTTGAGCCATCTGGAAGTCACATGAAAAGATATCTGTCTTCATATTTCTTTTTCACAACCTCGATTCTTTCTAATATCTTTATAGACCTGAGAGCGAACACCTATGTAACATGTTCCTCCTCCTTTTTAAAATTTTAGATTTTTTGTGTGCTAAAGTACATATAACATAAAATTTAGCATCTTAACCATTCTTAAGTGTACAGTTCAGTGGTATTAAGTACGTTCGTACTGTTGTGCAACCATTACCACCATCCATCTCTAGAACTCTTTTCATCTTGAAAATGGAAACTCTGTACTCATTAAATACTAACTCCTCATTGCCCTCCTTTGTCTCTATGATTTTGACTATTCTGAGTACCTCATAGAAATGGAATCATCAAGTATTTGTCTTTTCCTCTCCTTTTTCTCTACCTTCCCAAACTCCATCTAATTAATCAAACATGATCTCTCTCATAAAAGAGGTCATTCTTTTTCACCATTTTCCTTACTCTTTCCTTCTGGGAAAAAATTTTAAACCCTGCCCTGCCCCCTCTCTTCCCTTCTTCATTCCATTTATAAACCTCTTATTTAAAAAAAGAAAATGACAACGAAAAATTTTTTTAAAAGGTGACTGGGATAATTTCCTGGTTCTTTCATAGAGGTATGAGTTTCTGTGTGTAATTAACCATACAAAAGAACTACAGCTGCCAACATCTAAAATCTCTGAAATGGCCCAAGTTCTTTTCAAAATCTCCATAAAAGTTTAAATTTAACTTTCTACTCATCTTAGTTAAAATTATTTCTGTTCAACAAGAAATGTCTTTTAACTCACTTATTGCTTTTTTCTTGGAGGCTGATTCTCAGTATTCTAAAAATTGTATTTTTCTCTTTATCCCACGGGAAGTGAGTAGATTTCAACTGTGTTACATGTTAAAGAGGTGTTTGAGAACTAGAGTCTGTGAACCAAATCACAATATTTAATACTGCTCTCTGGGAAAGTGTTCTAGGTTCCACACAGCTCCTGAGAATTGAACTGCTGGTATTTAAGCCATTTATAAACTGGGGGTTGAGTGTGTGTTATACACTTCCCATAGATTTCATTAGCGATACATAGCTGAAAGCTGTTGGCCAACTCAATGCCACAGGTCACACAGTGAACAATAAAAGCAGCAGACAATCAAGTCACAGCAGCCAGCATGTCATCCAGATCCCCTGCCAGAGTTCAAGACCCAACTAGTGAATATGCTAAACCTATAGATTCTACAAACTCTCCATGACTTCAACCACCCATATAATTTCGGATGCATTTTCTTCCACTGCATGTTGAAGAAACATATGTTTCACTATGGCTTATGACAGACTTTGAAAACCTCATGGCGAGGGCACTGAAGTTAAAAAAGGTTTCCAAGAGAACAAGCCAGAGCTGCAGAAATATGCCTGGAGCAGAGGCTAACCAGCTAATTGTATTATTCAGTAGAAGCTACTTACAGAGGGATATCAGAAACCATTATAGAACTGCAAAACGGAAACTCACAACCCTTGCATAAAACACCAGTTTGGAGATAGTACATTAGCTGAGGGTCCAAAGAGTCCCAGAGCTGGGACTGTTGGTCTATGAAGTTCTGATCTGAACAGGGAAATGCAAATAGCAATTGAGATCAAGTTACTATCAGGGCAATAGCCACATTAACCAGCAGCCTCCTTTTTTTCCTCCCCAAAGGCCTGTGTAAGACTGGAGGCAGCTTGCCTTGGTCTTGGAGATGTATCCCTTTGCAATTAATGGACACGAAAGAAAGTGGCTTTTGCTGTCTCTCATTTGTTTGTTTGAGGCCTCACGTTTCGGGCCAAGCCATTTATCACAGAATATTAACTCCCTCTCTAAACTCTGAACATTTAGAGCCACTTCCACATTTATCTGGCACTCAACTCTGCAGTCCCATGCATGCAAAACTGGCCTCCTCATAAGGATTATAAACAACTTAAAGGCAAGTAAACTGACTTGAACTTCCTTAGGATTTCCCCTAACAACTACATACTGCTGAGCACAGAGTGGGCATCTGATAAACACAGTTGATTAACTCAAGGATAAGGTCCTCACATATCACGGGCATTGAAGCAACGCCAACTCCGCATGCCAATCTCAGTCCAACTTCCCAGGAAGAGTACTGATGGAGAATGTAAGCCTGGCGGTCACCAGGAGCCACATCAAAGTGGAGAAATCTTGCATCCTGTGCACGGGGTACTGCTTACCACCTGGGGACTGTAAGCTCCATGAGGGTAGGAACTATGTTTTGTTCCCTACCCAGCACCCAGCACCTAGTAGGTGCTCAAAAAAATATATGAAATCAAGTTTTGTCCCTTTAGTCTCATGAATCAGTGTTTCTACATCTTTTGTTTTGTTCATTCATCATTTATAACCAATCTACAAAAATAAAGGTAACTCCAGAAAACAAATCAACATGGCACCCACATGGTACACAGGGAGGTGTATACCCCTCCTCAGCCTGCCCAGGGTGTGCATATGTGTAGGGTGGTGTGAGGGAGGCTGGAGAAAGGTCACTGGCCTGCTAGCCACAGGTCTGGGAATTGCTGTGGAGGGACAAGAGTTGCTCTCCTGAAGAGAAATGGCCGGATGTCAGATCAAGCTCCTGGCAGCCCCAGTCAGTGGAATGCTGCTCAATGTGGTCCCTGTCTGGTTGGCAGCTTCCTGCCAGGGAAGGCTGCCAAGCAGGTTGTGACAGCTGTGCAGTGCTCTGACATTTCTGACCTGCCTGCCTGCTGCTCGTGGGAAGCAGCTGAGAAGTTCTGATGTGGATGGACCCGATCTTCCAATGGCTTTCGTTTTTCAGGAGAATGCCTAACTATCTCATCTTTTAAGATGGAAGTCATTGGAAGATGGCCTTTAGCTTTTCCGGTCAACACGAACCTACTGATTCTGTGTAGGGAAAACTACAGGGTGAGGCAAATGTAGGTTTACAGTTATTCATATGGACAATAATACCATAATTAATAAGTAATAATACAAGAATAAACGCTGTGTTTTGTGTACTCATAGCTGTAAATCTACTTTTGTCCCTCCTACTGCATATTTCCTCCTGTTCTCAACCACTATTTTCACCGTGATCACACTTGTTTATGAGCATCTTATCACAGTAATTGACATCTGTCAGCACTAGGAGAAATCACCTGTTTGAATAATTTAAAAAAATTAAAGATAGCTTTTTAACCATTTATTCTTTTGAAAAAAATCAAAATCTTAAGGCTCATTATTTGGAATGTTTACACTTCAACTGATTTTGATAAAAGAATGACTTTTTATATTCTCTTAAAGCAGTTACCTTTATGTAAAGTTGTTTAAAGTGAACTGAATATTTCATCAGGAGATATATAAATGTTAACTTAGATTCTTTTTTGCACTCAAAGATGAAAAGTTAAAAGTGAAAGTTCAGACATACCTTTCAGCATCATTCGTCCGGTGGATCCTCCAAAAGTACTGAGAAGCCCACTTCTTGCTCCTAAAGATGTGGTTGCTTCTAGGAGAGAACCCGTGATGTACTGAGATATGGATGTCCGTTGGAGGGTGGCACGGTACTCACATACGGTGTCTCGGACACATTGCTTTAAGCAGGGACCAACATTAATCCTTTCATAGGCTGTCTCAGAGGCTGGGAGCTTTGTGAAGAAATGGAGAAGAGATCCAATTGTATCTTCTGTTTCTTCTCCCCTTCTCACTGCATTGTAGATCTGTGAATAGCACAAAGTACAGGAAGTATTAATCTAGTTTCTTAGAAAAGCAAATTAACTTGTTGACAAAATGCCAAGATGACTTATTAAGAAAGAAGGTTCAGTCGCTCTAAGCACAAACACTTTTGAGCACTGGACTCATGTATTAACCTGAACATTCTACAGACACCATTTATTTGGGAAAGCTATGTGTAGTTATGAAATAGGCCATTCAAACAACTCTGCTATCAAACAGAGCGCTTACAAGTTGTACCAACCAAAAATATATTCAGCTCAAATTTCTTCTCCTCCTCAGCAAAGCAAAGCTCTTCTGCAGAGGGACGATGCCAGACCTTTCCTTTTTGTCCGTTTGGACTCTCCTAAGTGACTGTCTCAGGTCTGTCTGCCTCCAAGAAATACTGCAACCTGACATTCATGAGGAATCAAACAGAAGTAAGAATGAGAGGGTCATGGGGAAGGAGCAATTCTACATTTCTCTCTTGGTCACAATCCTTCAGTCCATCAGCTTGGATCAAAATCTTTGAATCCTTTTTCCTCTTTCAAACTTCCTCATTTTCCACATCCAGTGAGTTGACAGATCATGCCCATTCTTCCTGTTCTGTCTCTGCCACTATCCTGATTTCCTCTCCCTTTATAACCTGAATTTACCAAGAATTATCTCAAGGAGATTGAACTATTAGGTCAGGGTTCCCAACCATAATTCCAACCCATGCCAAAGCAATTGTTCAACATGCACTTATATAGGTCCTGCTCTATGTGAGGCATAGCATTGAAAGATGTAGGGCCTGGGCAAAGAGTAACACAGACCTCATATACTACAGGATTTCACAATCTAACTTAGAAGATGAGGCCTGAAAATGATGAGGTTTAACATTATTACAGGGAGGTTTGGGGTTTTGTCAAGGTCTCTGGGAAGCCAGAGACTTCTAGGTAGTATATAAGCAACAGGAAGAAACATAACATGGGAGTTAATCCAGCTTTCTGATGGTGGAATAAAGGTAGACTATATTGTGTTGTTGTTTTTATCATGCCACCTTGAGCACCTTGTCATGGTTGTCTTATTATTTATGCATCAAATCAATAAATAATCATTATGTGTTTATATAACAGATATGTGTCAGGCCTGGGTTAATAAGATAGCTTCTCCCCTCAAAGAGTTCACAGTCCAGTGATACACAAAAGAGCTCATAGTGGAGTGGAAACCGAAGTTGCCCTGTCCTGTGACTTCAATGCGTGTCCAGGGAAGAGAAGATCCTCCAATGCCCTCCAGGCCATGTGTGTGCCCCCATGATGCTACACACTCCAAATCTCACCTTAACCAGGACGCACTGGCCCTCAAGAGGATCATTGTTAAGCTGTGCTAGGTCCTTAGGACTTTAGAATGTACCTAAAACACCCCAATTATTCAAACTGCGGATCCTGACTACATTTCTATTCTGCTTTCCTCTGACTACTGGTATATACTTGTCACTTGAAGGCAAAGTGTGAATTCTTTGGCTTTAATTCTCTGTCAATTAAATTTCTGGTGGCCAGTACGGCCATGAAGGTGGTGTGCTAGAACAGAAAGAGCTCGGCTTTAGCATCAGGTATATGGGGTTGTACTCCTGATTCTACCTTGACCAGCTAGAGAGCTGGACATGAGCATGAGCAAGCGGACTTAAATGTTTAGAGACAGTTTCCTCTTCTGTAAAATGGGGATACTAAGGTTCCATCTTATGGATGTTGTGGGTTTCACCAAGACAACAACGTAAAGTGTTCAGCCTAATATCTAGGAATGGGGCCCATTACTACTGGGCAAGAAAAGAATGGACTCCGCTATCCTCAGGGAACAGCAGATGATTGTGTAACAACAGAGCTTAGTCTACGAAATTTATTGTGATGGGGTTATACCCTTACTCTCTTGTGCCACTGGATAATATCATCCTAACCTTATTTGAGCTGCAGAGCTCAAAACATGCTTTTCTCCTCTCAACTCCAAATCACACAGGCAATCTCCAACACAAAGTCTCAAACAAATCCTTCAGAAGTAAATGCTCTGAAGTTCAGGGAAAGGACCCACAGTGAGATCTGGTGGCTAAAGAAGGCTTCAGAGGTAAAACAGATTTGAGCTGTGCCTTGGAAAATAGGCACAATTCTAACTGGAGCAGCTTGGGGAGGCAACTCTCATGGTAAGCAAGGGTGAAAGAAAATGTATGTGTCCTAAGGACAGTAAGCAGAGCAGGGTATTTAGAGCAGAGGAGAAATTAGAAAGGCCAGTTGGCCTGATAAAGGAGATTCTTGAATGTCAAACAAAGAGCTTTAAGCCATCAGAGGTAGAAACTTGTCACTTTTGTTTGTTTGTTTACTTGTTTGTTTTTAACAGAGAAATGATGCTAAAAAGGTTTTACTTTACAAGACTAATATGCTTACAGTTTTTAGTTACTAATGAGTAGACCTAGTTTCTTCTTGCCAAGCTCCTTCATTGGCTCAGATGCCCTTACTCATTATGTTATGCATTCCAGTTTCCACATCAGGCCTTCAGAGATTCCCAATGTCTCATTCAGCTCCTTATCCAGCTTTCCCAAAAGGTTTTCCTCAAATTAGGAGATCGTGAGTGACTGCATGAAATAAAAACTCCTTGATCAAGTAAGTTTGAAAAACTTAGTAAATATTCTCCTTTTGAAGATTTACATTGCATATTAGAATATTAAAGACAAAAGGTTTAGAGTGAAGATATCTATTTTATTTTGTTGGAGTGTTTGAGTATTACTCATACTCATGTTATCTGACCAGAAATTTTTTTTAAGAGCACATACTCTGTGAATATAGTGTTGTACCAAATAATTTACTCTAATCAAATGGCCTTTTCTTATTCTCATTTCCTTGACCTTTGTGGATTCTCTGAAACAGACAATTACCTAACTTTCTAGAAATCCTGCCTCAATTGTCATCTCATTGTTCTGTCTCTGCCTTATTACTCTGTGGTTCCCCTTCCTTCACGGGCCTTCAAGACAGTTGTAATGCAATAGAGAAGTGCCAACAAGTGCCTAATGTTGGGGGTCATAATTTGGTTGGCCATGAGCTAGATTTACCCAAAAGATCTGTTTCATCTGACATACTGTTTTAAAATCAGGACAGTTTACATACAAATTGGATGTTACAGCATTTTCTGATAAATGCAATAATCTGACAACACTGAGTATTCCCATGTGGTGTGAAGGACTAGACCTTACATAGGGCATGAGTTCTCTACTAGGCTCCCACCATTCTCTAGTGATCACACCTGGTCAATATCCGGTCACCATTAGCATATGTGTTTATGACCCTTTCCTTCATGGGATATAGACATGGCTGTAGATACACACAATAAACATGCACTGAGCTCCTCTAACATGTCATCTGTGTGTTCTTCCCTGGGCTAGTTGCCAAGGATACAGAGAGAAAGCTATGGTCTCTACTCTCAAGGAGCATTGCTGCTCACCTCCAACATATATAAATGCTATGTACATATTAAGTAACCATTCAGTATTGCTATCAGCCACTTGTTTCCAAACTTGTCTGACAAAATAAAAGATGAAGAACTCTAAGATGAAGAACTTACTTTGTTAGCTTCCATCACAAAGACCAGAAAAAGATCAGCAGGTCCCACAAAGATCTGGACTGATGCATGCTAGTTACACAAATGCTGGATGAACTGAATTCAAGGGGCTTATTGGAAAAATGCTGAAATGTGGGTGAACTGTGTTAGACATAACAATGCTCAGGGAACATATTAAAATCAGGCTCTAACCACTTATTAGATCACCCACTTTTTAAGAAAAAGAGGCAGACATGAAAAATTCCACATATATAGTGTGGGAAAAGGGGTAAGTATAGATCAGTCATTATGAGTGTGGCTCTGGGGCATTGTCTTGAATTCTAGCTCCCCTGCTTCCCAGCTATGTGACCTTGACACTTTACTTTGCCATTCTGTGCATCAGTTTCCTTTTCTCCCGTGTGGGGATATAATCGTCTCTGCCTCATAAGGCAGTGGTAAGAATTAAAAGCTTTGATAAATATAATAGAATTAGAACAGTACCTGCCACTTAGTCAATACTCAACAAATATTGTTTTTTGTGATGATGGTGACAATGACGACTGTGGTAAACTCCCCCCACACACACACACACACACTCACACAAAATGGCCATAAATTATTTCCTTCACTGATTCTAGGCCAGCCTTGGGAATTGCTTAAGTAATGGGAGTTTAGCAAAAGCGATACAAACAAAGTCCTGAAAAATACTTGTTCACTGACATTTGCTCCCTCTTGCTGTTTCTGGGAACTCTGCAATAATGGACATGTGGAGAAGCCAGAGCTAGCACTCTGGAGGACAAGAGACCATGGCCTAGTCACTTTTGTAACTTTGGCTGATAGCTTGCTAACAGCCAGACACTCAGTGAGGCCACCCTAGATCCTAAGATCATCCTATGCCTAGCCGACTGCCATCATAGACCCAGGAGAGAGCCCAGCAGAGATCAGGGGATTCAGACTAGGAGAACCACCCAGCCAATTCACAGAAACATGAGCTAAACAAATGACTGTCACTAAGTTCTGGGAGTGCTTCATTACAAAGCAAAAGTTAATGGACATAATGATGTGATGGGCAAGCTGATAAGTATTTACCTGCATGAGATTTAAATCCATACATTAAACCAAAGAGGTTGATTCATTTGGCAGATGGAGACAGAAAGCACAGAGAAGTGAAAGAAATATAGTCAACCTTACATAGCTAGCAAGGGTCTGAGCCAGATTGACACCTAGGTTTATCCAACTCTATCCATTGCACAAACAGGGTCACACCCAAAGCCCAAACAGTGGGATTCAAGAAATCATCATTATTTGGCAAAAGGTTTAAATGATGTTTACATTGCTTTTGTTATTGTTTTTATTCATGATAATTCCTTTCATGGTCACCCTAAATTACTTTTGAAAGATAGTCAAGTTATGATTAATGAATGACCAAGTGTTTCCTTATATG